AGATGGTTGGGAGGGGTGGCTTTGAAGTTCATTTTTGGTTTACAACATGTGTAATGTGTGTGTGTGTGTCTGTGTGTGTGTGTGTGTGTGTGTGTGTGTGTGTGTGTATGGTGGAGTTTCACTCTTATTGCCCAGGCTGGAGTGCAATGGCATGATCTCAGCTCACTGGAATCTTGGCCTCCCAGGCTGAAGTGATTCTCCTGCCTCACCCACCTGAGTAGCTGGGATTACAGCATGCACCACTATGCCTGGCTAATTTTGTATTATTAGTAGAGATGGGGGTTTCACTATGTCGGCCAGGTTGGTCTCAAACTCCTGACTTCAGGTGATCCACCTGCCTTGGCCACAGAAAGTACTGGGACTATGGTCATGAGCCACTGTGCCCAGCCTACAACATGCAAAGTTTTGAGAGGAGACAGAAACCACCACCCTTTCTAGGAGAGTACAACCCTCCAGTCACCCCTGTAGTTGATCATGGACATGAGTCTTAGGCTCCACCAGTCAGATGAGCACCTGCTGAAGGAGCGTCATTGTCTCGGGTAAATACTCGGGGTTCGTGGTCTTGGGCCAAGAAGATGAAGGACACTGACACACAGGGAGTGATTTAGCAGCAGAGATTTAATAGGCAAAAGAAAGACAATGGGGAACAACTCTGTCTCTTGTGAGGTAGAGGAGCGCCCAAAAGGCAATTTTGGTCTGCAATGGGAGTGCATCAGATTTTACAGGCAGGCTTGAGGAGATGGTGCCTGATTTACGTAGGGCCCACAGGTTGATTGGACCAGGTGTGACATTTACATAGTGCGTGGGAAAGGTTGTTCATCCCACCCTAATCCTGTTATGCAAATGGCCTTTCCACTAGGTGGGTGCCATGTTGTCTTCTCCTTATTGTACATGTGGATGGTAAAGAGAAGGGAGGATGGAGCCGCCATGCGAACATGCCTAGTCCCAGGCGTCCCTTTCCTATTGGCACAGCTGCCGCATTACCCGTGAGAGTTCCTAGCTGGCTTGTCTGTGTCTGAAGCTTGATTTTTCAGGCTGCTCTTTGTTAGAAAAGAAGATGATTTGGGGGCTGCTTTTCAATAAAAGGAAAACCTTACTGAGTCTTCATACCCTCGCTATCTGCCTAAATAATTTCTTCTTAACTCGTATATCACTGCCAGACTCTGAGCCAGTATGAGGCGACACAGAGAGGCTGGGACTGTGCAGAATGCATTTTAGTAAAGGTGGCTGAGTGGCAGTGGTGATGTCCAGTTTCCAGGCACAGCAGTGACATCTGTCCTAGCCTTAGGGTCCAGTGTCCAGCACCAGGATGTCACAGTTGTGAGTAGTGGCATCTGTGCTCAGCAGCAGGGGCAGTTGTTCCTAGGAGGGACCAGATCCAGGGTGGGCTGTGGATTCTCTCCCTAAATGTGTGGTTTCCATCCTGGTTCTGTGGTCTTCCCCACAATAAAATAAGCCCCCAACACCAGATATACTACTTTTTGTGTACATTAGAGAAATTTGGTTTCCATAGTTTGCTCCAAGAAGTGAGTGAGAAATCAGTGTGTGGAGCAGTGTCAGAGAGCAGCATTCAGAGGTGTTCTTTGTGTGAGAACCACATCCTGAATTGTCTACCTGGCCTCTATGCTATGGTGGAGAGATCAACAGGGAATATCACATCTCATAATCGATGATGTACATCCTGCCTTTCCTTGCTGTGAGAAAAATCCTCTTTTAACCAAGGTTTGAAAACCCACCCGACCCACCCACCCTGGGCACTCTCTGATCTCTGATCTCAGTGGTTCCCAATCTGGCTGAGCAACAGGATTGCTGGTGGGCCTTAGAAAATCCTCAGGCCACTCTCTAGAACCCATGTCTCACAGTACTATGCACAAGACCGATGAATCATTTATATAACAAGCCCTACAGGCGAGGCTGATGCATAGGCATGTGGGATCCACATGTTCTTTCTATTCCAAGTGTGATCTGGAGACCAGCAGCAGGAGCTCCAGCCTTGTCATTAATCCAGAATGTCTTGCTTGACTCCAGACTTCCTGGATCTCAGCACCATGTCCAGGTGATTCCTGTGCACATTGGCGGTCCTCGTCTAAGTGTCCTGTAGGCGTGGGATCAGAACTGTGCAGTCTGCTCTGGGTGTTATCTGATCCCTTAGAACTGGAGGTCCAGGGTTCATTCCCTGCGCTCATTCTTTTCCACAATCACTGCCTTGGTGCCCTCATCCATGCTTGAGATTTTAAGTATCGTTTATATGGTATGACCTTCTAAGTCTCTTCTCCAGCCCAGTCCTTTCTCCTAAACTCTGGAGTTGTGTGTCCAACTTCCACCCCGGCTCCCTCACCTGCATTCCTAGTAGACACCTCCTCCACTGAGTGCCTGGGATGCCCCCTCCTCGGTATACTCCTGCCAGAGTCCCCCCAGCTCTGCTGATAGCAGCCCCACCCTTCTACTCACTCATTTTACAATCATGGGTGTCCTTGATTCTTCTTTCTCACACCACAGATACAATCCATTGGCAAATGCTGTGAGTCTATCTTAAAATGCATCCAGAATCTCCTCACATCCCACTATCTCCCCGGCTCACACCCCAGTCAAGGTAACGACATCTCCAGCCCGGAATACTGCACTCGCTTCCCACTATTTTCCCCTCCGCCTCCCTCATCCCTGGCCTCTCAGCTCTGTTCTCGGCATTAGCAGTCAGCGACGTCCTTTTAAAAGAGAAGTCATATCATGTCCCTCTTCTGCTGAAAACTGTCCTGTAACTCCCATGTCACTCAGAGCAAGGGTCAAATCTGACTGCATCCCCCCTTAAAACCCACCTGCTCTGACCACACCTCTGACCTCATCTAGTTTCTCCTTGTCCAGCCCTCCTGGCCTCCTTGCTCTCCTGGGAACACAGACACCTTCCTGCCCTAGTGCATTTGCCCTGGAGGTTCCCCTGCCTGGAAAGAACTTCCCCAGACATCTTCATGGACATTCCTCATGTCCCTCAAATCTTTCCTCAAAGGTCACCTTTGCAACAAGGCACACAGACTACCCAGCACAACAGCCACCTTCTCTGTCCCCACTGCCCACACCCTGGGTCACCTGCCTCACAGCACTTCCCACTTTCTAGCACTTTCCTTCCTCACTCTGGTTATAGTCTGTCTATCCTCTGGATAGTGTATCTGCCTCTTCACACTGGAACATATGCTCCAAAAGGCTAGAGATTTTTCTGATTTTACTTCAGTGATGTTCACCAGATGCAGAACCATTCTGTCCTATGTCTGGTCAGCACCAAAGGTCAGTTGAAGGATCACTGTAGAGCACCTCTCTATTCTAGACAGTATCTTTTTCTAACATAGCCTCAGGCCGAATGCTGTTTTGTGGCAGCCACAGCACAAGGTCCCCTCACACTGACATCGAGGCCTGTGTGTTTCTCAGCAGTGCTGCTTGTGTACCTCCCTCCCCATCCCTCTTCCTACACCAACCGCCCCCTCCCCCCACACACTGCAGCACACAATCACGTTTCTCTCTTAAGGAAAGAACAATTCTTGACTATGGACCCAGTTTTACAAACAAATATGAATCTAAATTAGACTCTGCTTTAGATTCATGAGTTGAGATTGGAGTCAGCACCAAGATCACTGGAACCAGGGCAGGGAGAGAGGGCAGGACAGCAGAGCAGAAGAGGAGCCCTAGAAGGAGGGCAGGAGCTGAATGGGTCTGAAAATTTGTCTCAGAAACACAGAGACTCCCATGTGCCGGGGCCGCCCTGGTCAATGTATGAGCCTCTGTGGTCACAGCTTTCGCTGGATAAGTTTCTACTGACAGGACAAGGACCGTGGAGCAGTGAAGCTGACCCAGCTGAGGACTGACCACATAAAGCCCATGATGGACTCAGCAGCAACTGGGCACAGGCCCCGCCCACACTCGGCTCCTCACAGCCTTCTCCATCCCCACCTGCAACAGGCTCAGCACGGCGAACATGCAGATTCTGGAAGGTTCTCAGTTCTTTATTTCCTTTCTCAAATTTTAGGAATTGACTTATTAATCCATCAACCTTTCATGGCAAATATTTGAGATAACACATTTATTTTTAGATTCTTATTTTCAGTAAGAAAGTAAGAGGTTGCAGCTGAGTGTACCATTAAGCTGAGACAGAGATGGAGACACTGAGCCCAATCTCTCTGGAACAGGAAAGATGACTGGGGAGGGAACACAGGTCAGCGTGAGGACAGGGGTCACAGTGGACACGGGGCGGGCTGTCTCTCCACCTCCTCACATTATGCTAACAGGGACGCAGACACATTCAGATGCCTTTGCAGAAAGACATGTCAGAGGCTCCTGAAGTCACAAAGGGGAGGCGTGAAGAAATCCCGCATCTCAGTCCCACACAAGCAGCTGTCTCAGGCTACAGAAAACAATAATCATGAACAAATTCATGTCAGTCATGGTAAGTGATGACACTCTGAACAGCCGACTACACACTCAAAATGTCCCAATCAAAGAATCCCCATAACCCTGTCTTTTCCCTTCTGCCCCAATACCTGCCTACTTCAGGACCCCCCAGGGTCTCACATTTACAAGCTGTGAGAGACACATCAGAGCCCTGGGCACTGTCACTGCCTGCGGTAGAACAAAAACAGGACCTGGTCAGAGCCCACAGGAGATGTGGGACAGGAGGAATTACCAGGTGGGTGAGCTCCTCCACACTCCAACCCCCACCACGTACATGCAGCCTGGGAGTAGCTCCCTTCTTTTCTACCTGTGGGAAGAAAACTTCCTGTGAGGGGACAGGGAGGAGGCAGGGTCATGAGATTTTAGAGGAACCTCCTAGTCTTGGACCCTAGAGAAGTTTCCAGAACTGTGACTATGGACCCAGGAAGGATCAGGAAACACGAGGAAAGCAGGTGTGGGTCCTGGACCAACCACCCTCCTAAGGTCTGTCCTTAGCAGGGACCTTCCCCTAACCTGTGACTGCTGGAATCAGGACCCCAACACCACAATCATCACCGTGATACAACTGTCCTTCATTGTCATACCTGCTTCACAAAAGAGTAAGTGCTGGCACACAGGGCCCCAGGCTGTGTGCACATGGTCCATGTGTGGATAGTGATTCCCAGCAATGAGGCAGGACACACTTCTACCTGGGGCTTGAAACCTCCAGTGGGACAAAAAACCCAGACCCCACCCCTCACCCCTTCCCTACCTAAGCTCTTCCTCCTCCACATCACAGCAATGACCACAGCTCCAATGACCACAGCTCCTAGGACAGCCAGGGCAGCAATGATGCCCACGATAGGGATGGCAAGCTGGGAAGACGGCTCTGGGAAAGGAGGGGAAAATGAGGGGCCCTGACCCTGCTGAAGGCTCCAGAAAGGCTCCTGCTTTCCCTGAGAAGAAACATGACCCCCATCCCCTCCTTACCCATCCCCCTCCTTACCCCATCTCAGGGTGACGGGCTCGGGCAGCCCCTCGTGCTGCACATGGCATGTGTATCTCTGCTCTTCTCCAGAAGGCACCACCACAGCCGCCCACTTCTGGAAGGTTCCATCCCCTGCTGGCCTGGTCTCCACAAGCTCCGTGTCCTGAGTTTGGTCCTCTCCATCCCGCTGCCAGGTCAGTGTGATCTCCGCAGGGTAGAAGCCCAGGGCCCAGCACCTCAGGGTGGCCTCATGGTCAGAGACAGGGTGGTGGGTCACGTGTGTCTTTGGGGGATCTGACAGGAAGAGTCAGAAAATTGAGGCACTCTGCATCTCTTATGGGACATACCAGCAGCACCCATGTGAACATCTGAGAATGGACAGGACACCTGGGGTGGAGAAGGGAGCACAGAACCCAGACACCAACCTGGGCACAGGCAGCTGGGATAATCTCCTATTCTGTGGAAAGTTCTAGTCTCTGAGGGAGGAACTGCGACTTCTGGTCCTGACCTGAGTGGAGGTCGAGGGACTCAGAAAAGTTGGAATCAGACCTTCAAACACATTTGAGTGTGAGGCAGAGAACAAGGCCTGAGAGAAAAAGTCAAGGTGCCCGGGGCGGCTGCAGGGGTCAAAGGGGACCCCTGATCAGTATTCCAGGGACTGTCTTCCCCTCCATTTCCTCAGAGAAGTCATCCTTTAATTGTCCTAGAAAGCAGAGGGGGCCTCAGAGGAAACTCAGGAAAACTCATGCCATTCTCCATTCAAGGGAGGGCGATATTCTAGCTCTGATCCCATTTCCTCCCCTCCTTTTGGGAGGCCATCCCGGGAGATCTACAGGAGATGGGGAAGGCTCCCCACTGCCCCTGGTACCCGCGCGCTGCAGCGTCTCCTTCCCGTTCTCCAGGTATCTGAGGAGCCACTCCACGCACGCGCCCTCCAGGGAGGCTCTCAGTTGCTCCGCCACATTGGCCGCCTCCCACTTGCGCTTGGTGATCTGAGCCGCAATGTCCGCGGCGGTCCAGGAGCGCAGGTCCTCGTTCAGGGCGATGTAATCCTTGCCATCGTAGGCGAACTGCAGGTACCCGCGGAGGAAGAGCCCCTCGGGCCCCACGTCGCAGCCGTACATCATCTGGAGGGTGTGAGACCCTGGCCCCGCCCCCGCGGTCAGCCCCGCCCACCGAGTCCCGCCCCCGCCCCGACCAACCCGCGGGGATTTTGGCCTAAACCAAAAATGAAACTCGGTAAAGGCGCCTGGGGCTCTCCTGGGTCGAGGGTCTGGGCGGGCCCCGCAGCCTCGGGATGGACCTCGGACCCGGACACTCGGAGAGACCCAGTCGGTGCTTGCGGGATGCGGAGGGGTCGTGACCTGCGCCCCGGCCGGGGTCACTCACCGGCCTCGCTCTGGTTGTAGTAGCCGAGCAGGGTCCTCAGGTTCACTCGGTCCATCTGTGCGAGGGCCTTGGCTCTCTGTGTCTCCCAGTCCCAATACTCCGGCCCCATCTTCTCCGCCCACGGCGTCCGCGGCTCAGCTCTCGGAATCGCTGCGTCGCCGTCGAACCGCCCGACCTGCGTGTCGTCCACGTAGCCCACGGCGATGAAGCGGGGCTCCCCGCGGCCAGGCCGGGACACAGAGGTGGTGAAATACCTCATGGAGTGGGAGCCTGCGGGCGAGGAGGGGCTGAGACCTGCCCGACCCTCCTCCCAGCTCAGCTTCCCGGGTCCTACGCCCCAGTCGTGCGGACGCCTGGCTCCTACTCGCAGAGGCCGTTTCCCTCCAGACCCTGCACTCACGCGCCCGGGTCTGGGTCAGGGCCAGAGCCCCCGAGAACAGCAGGAGGAGAGTTCGGGGCGCCATGACCGCCATCCTTGGCATCTGGGGAGAATCTGAGTCCAGGTGCGTGACTGGGGACTTTAGAACCGGGACCTGGGCGACGCTCATTGGCTTCTCTAGAAACCCGACACTCACTGGGAGTGAGAACTGGGGAGGCGTCACGAGGATTCAGGAGGAAGGACCCGACACAGGTTGGAGTGAAACTCAAGGGAGCAGGGAATCCCCAACGCTGCGCCTCCCCAGTGCGGACAAGGCCCTCCTTGCCGGTGCCTGAGACCGTGAGAACCACGCCTAGGACCTGGGACTTTGTCCCGATCCCTCTTCTCCTACACCAAGCCTCTTTGTCACACTGTCTGCCCGAGTCCTGGCCGAGGATGTCTGTGGAAACCCGGGAGAGATGCCCAGGCTGCGCCCAGCCCCTTCCCCTTCCCCTTTCGTCCTGGAATCCCAGTCCCTGAACTGGACTACCTGCCTCCCACTCCTTACCTCTCCCCTTGGACTCTTGTGCAAGGAAACTCACCACGGGGAACTTGATGCCAGAGATTGAGCTCGCCCTGGGAATGGAGGTGTAGAGACGGGTTTTCTCTTTAAACCTGGTGAAGTTTTGTCTGAAGTCACCAGTTAGAGATTCTCATAGAGACCAGTTTCCTTTGTGTTTATTAATACAGTAGGTAGCATAATACTGGTAATCTCTGAATGATTAGGATTCCAATCTGTCAAAGACCTGCGTCAAAACAGCATTGCAATTAAACCCTCAAAGCTCCTAAGTTTTACTTTCCCAGATTATGGATCTGTGACTCTGGCTGTTGCATTTAAAATTATCTTCATTCCCTTGCTCGAGTTTCCCTGTGTGAGTCAAGAATATCTCCTGAATACGAAGAAGCAGGATTTGTCACTGTATATTGGAGCCGGAAGCCTGTAGTCACCACCTCAAAGTTGCGAATGCTCCATGCAGTCCCAATGCTCTTCATCAGCACTCAAGCACTGCCTGTTTTCATGAGCTATGCACATCTAAGCAGTGTGCATATTTTATTCGGACACTTGGTATTTCTGTAACTTTTTTTTTTTTGTAAAATTATGAGGAAGCCATTAGTTTTTAGTCAGTCCCACACAAAATGCACTAAATACCAAGTGCAAAGAAACCCCTGCTAGGCTCTTCCATGGCTTTAAAATTCTTTCCCCTGCCCATTTTCCTCACCTCCTGCTTCTCCAGCCTTTATCTCTGCCCTTGTCATGCCTCACACCCTCCCCTCCCCTTAGTCCCTGCCATTCTGTCGGTCCTGAATTGTGGCACTAACACTGTCCCTCACTTCCTGCCCAAATCTGTTCTCCCCACAGTGCTCAGCAGTCCTGCTAATGTGACTCAGTTGTGTCATTTCTTCACTCACAATGGATTGTGGTCTACCATTTTGCTACATGTTTTCAATTAGTCTCCTATCTTTTTTGTTTCTGTTCCTCCTTTGACTTTCTTATGTGTTAAGGAAACATTTTTTAGTTTACGGTTTTAATTCTCCTAGTAGCTTTTAGCTATATTTCTTTACACTAATTTTTTTTATCGTTGTAAGAATGGATACCCGATTCCTTGACTTTTCACAGTGAAGTTCAGGTAATATTAAGGTGCATCCAGCAAAATAAAGGACACTTCAAATGGTATAGTGTCATCTAACCTATCATTATGCTGTTGGTGTTGTATATATTACATCAATATACATTATAAACTCAATGATACAGTGTAATAGTTTTTGTTTTAGAAAAGCAGCCATATGTCTTCAGGAAATTAAGCAAATGAGTGTGTGTGTGATATGTGTGTGTGCATCACTTCTGTTGTTAATTTTTTCCTTCTGTGAATCTGGGTCACCAACTAGTTTCATTTCCCTTCAGCCTAAAGAACTTCCTTTAAAATTACATGTAGTGCAGGACCCCTAGGAAATGAAATATGTGGTTTTGATGATCTGAAAATATCTTTATTTTTGCCTTCTTACCCCCACCCACCTCTTTTTTTTTTGTTTTGTTTGCTTTTTAGGACATTTACATATAACCAAAATTTACCAGGTTTAGCTGCACTTTTTGGTGAATATTGGTAATTTTTTGTAGTCGTGTAACTATCACACTGGCCAGTAGAGAAACACCACTTGTAAAGAACCACCTGCTAGGCTCCTCCACTGCTTTAGAGTCCTTTCCCCTGCTCCTTTTCCTCACCTCCTGCTTCCCCAGCCCTTCTCTCTGCCTCCCTCATCCCTCACACCCACCTCTCCCCTCAGTTCCCACTGCCCAGTCACTCTCAAATTGTGGCACTCTAGAGAACAGTTTCTTTTTCCTAAAAACTTTCTTTCTGTCCCTTTCTATTTAATCCCTGCCTCCCACCCTGACCCCTTCCCTTCACTCAACCACTGCTCTGCTTTCTGTCACTGCAGTAGTGTAATTTCTAGAATTTCATGGACATGCAATTATATGTGATGCAGTCCTTTGTTTGGTCTCTCACTCAGCATAACAATGTTTGAGATGATGCCATTCATTCATTTTTGTTGCTGAGGAGCTGCTGAGTATTGCTGGAATCCCAGTTTACTCATTGTTTTCTCATTCTCCTGTTGATAAACATGTGGATTACTCCAGTTAGGGTGTGTTACTAATGAAGCTACTATAGATAACTGTTCACAAGTGTGGCCTTACATTTTAATTTTTTTTTTTGGTTAAATATATATTTGTGGGATTGCCGGGTCCTGTGGTAATGGATGGGCAGCTGTATAAGAAATTGCCAAACCACTTTACAAATTGGCTGCCACATTTTTTGCATTTCTACCAGCAATATCAGACATTCCTATTTTTTTCACATTCTTGCCAGTATTTAGAATTATCATATGTCTTTTTAACTTACCTATTCTAGGTGATGTGTGGTGGTTTCTCATTGTGGTTTTAAGTTGCACTTCTTTGATGACTAGTATGGCTTGCTATCTTCTCAGGTTCATCTAACTGACTTGACTTATTACATATATTTTATGAACTATTTAGCAAATTGTATGATTAATTTTAGAAACTTTTCAGAATGCCCTAGTGTTTCCTGCATGTGCAATGAAGTAGGTGACAAAGAAAGACTTTTATTTCTTTATTTCCTATCTATTAATCTTTTTTTAAAAATTATTTTTAATTATTTGGTGGAAATGAGGTCTTATTACCAGGCTTATCTCAACCTCGTAAACTCAAGCGATCCTCCCAGCTCAGTCTCCCAAAATGCAGGGATTACAGGCAGGAGCCGCCATGCCTGGTCCTTCTCTTGGTCTTTTATTTCATTTTCTTGCCATGTTGCACTGGTTAGGATGCCTGTTACGTCTCACAAGAATGATGAGAGCTCGCATCTTCATTTACAAGGAACTTAAAAAAATTTACAAGAAAAAGAAAACAGCCCCATCAAAAAGTGGGCAAAGAATATGAACAGACACTTCTCGGAAGAAGACATTTACATGGCCAGGAAACATACAAAAAAAGCTCAATATCACTGATCATTAGAGAAATGCAAATCAAAACCACAATCAGATACCATCTCTCTCCAGTCAGGATGGCAATTATTAAAAAGTGAGGAGACAACAGATGCTGGCAAGGCTGTGGAGAAATGGGAACACTTTCATACTGTTGGTGGGAATGTAAACTGGTTCAACCATTGTGGAGGACAGTGTGGCCATTCCTCAAAGATCTAGAACCAGAAATACTATTTGTCCTAGCAATCCCATTACTGAGTATATACCCAAGTGGCTAGAAATCATATCACAATAAAGACATATGGACATGTATGTTTATTGCAGCACTATTTACAACAGCAAAGACATGGAACCAATCCAAATTCCTGCCAATGATAGATTGGACAAGGAAAATATGGTGCATATACACCATGGAATACTACACAGCCATAAAAGGAATGAGTTCATGTTCTTTGAAGGGACATGGATGACGCTGGAAGCCGTCATCTTCAGCAAACTAACACGAGAACAGAAAACCAAACGCTGCACGTTCTCACTCCTAAGTGGGAGTTGAACAATGAGAACACGTGGACACAGAAGGGGAATGACACACACCAGGGCCTGTTGGGGAGTAGAGGGCAGGTGAGGGAACTTAGAGGACAGGTCAATGGGTGCAGGAAACTGCCATGGCAGACTTTATGTATGTAACAAACCTGCATGTTCTGCACATGTATCCTGGAACTTAAAGTAAAAGAAAATAAATTAAATTAAAAAAGAAAGCGCCCGACTTACATGTACGCATATGTTCACTGCAGCACTATTCACAATAACGAAGACTAGGAGTCAATGAAAATGTCCAATGGTAGACTGGATAAAGAAAACGTGGCATGTCTACACCGTAGAACACTATGCAGCCCTCAGACAGAATGAGATCATGTCCTTTGCAGGATCATGAAAGGAATTGGAGGCCATTATCCTTAGCAAACTAATGCAGGAACAGAAAACCAAATATCACATGTTCTCACCTATTAGTGGGAGCTAAATGATGAGAAAACATGGACATGTAGAGGGGAACAACACACACTGGGGTCCACTTGAGGGTGGAGGGTGGGAGGAGGGAGAGGATGAGGAAACAGCTAATGTGTACTAAGGCTTAATACTTGGTTGGGTACTAATGGGTACAGAAATAATCTGTACAACAAAACCCCATGACAGAAGTTTACCTATGTAACAAACCTGCACATGTACCCCTTAACTAAAAATAAACGTTAAATTAAAAAAAAAAAGTGCATGCCTGGAAAGGGCATATGGTTGGTTCTGTGTTTTTTTTAAACCAAGTCACACAATCTCTGCCCTTCATTGGAGTGTTGATTCCTGTAGGTTTTTGTCATTATTGATGTGATAGGAACTTTGTGCAGTGGCAATATCGTATCCAATGAGGTTCATCCGAGGCACGATTATTGCTAATTTAAAACTTTTCCTAATACCCGCCATGACGACTTGAAATATAGTCAGCATTGGCAATTTTTGGCAGTTTCTATGGGGACTGAATAAAAAAAAGATACGATAGGTTTTAGGTCTACCACGTCGTTTTCCCAGTTTTAGTGTCTCTGTTCCTCTTGTCCTGGCCAATGTCTTC